CTCAAGGGTGCTCTGGAAGTTACAAATTATATATTCAAAGTTATTTTTTCTGAATATACAACTAAACCATAATTATGGCTCTAATCGGATTTCTTGATACATAGACTTAAAGTACTTTTTGCAGAACTCTGTTACAGAGCTGTGATTTACTTAAAAATTACCGAAACAGTAATATTTTGCTCTGCGTGCGCAAGCAATCAGGGCAAATCATTTTGATAATTTCATATATTTTGGTTTCCGTTGAAGTATTCAAAGCCATTGAAGACTCCAAAAAGAAAGAAACTTTTTTGATTTACGAGTCACTCAATTTTTAGTTAGCTCAAAATTTACGGGCATAGCATAAAAGACCGAAATGAAGTTTTTACCGCAAAGGTTATTTCTTTTTTTTTTACTGAACTGTGTGGAAAAGTGTTTGCCTTAAAAGTGAGTTACCTAAAAAAAAATGAAAAGAAAATGTTTGAGATGTTATGTAAAGAAGAAAGTGATTTTTTTCTTATGAAGCAAAGTAATAATTAGTCCAAATTGCATGTCTCAATTCAATTTTGAACGATATCTACAACGGATTAAATCTCCGCTTATGCTTTTTCATTGCTCGGAATATATCGCGCCTTAATTGTCTTTTTAAACCTCCGTTACTTTTCGAAAAATATCCACAGATGAAATTGAACTTAGGACAATAGTATTTTTTTTGTTTAATTTATAATATTTGTTTAATTTATAATATTTTGAAGAGAACTGCTACAGCAGAAACAATTAGTCTTATTTGGGAATTCAGCTCATCCTGTAAGTAAATTCCTCACTTAAAATTTCCCATAATTCAGGATGTCATTAATCTTCAAGGGTAGAAATTAGCTCCATTTATTTTTGAGTAAAGTGTGAAATTTTTAAAGGCCTTTTTTACTTGAACAAGAAACTATTTAACGACTTTTTTTTCTGTTTTCCCCGAACATAGTGCAGTCGCTTGAGCACATGCACTTTTAAAAGCATTTTGTTCTAGAAGCAAAAAAGATATAATTTGATATATATTTGATATATATTAAGATATATATTTTGAAAAGATGTATATTTTGAATTGCAACAGTAGCGCAGGCGATCTTTGTCGGGGAGGGGTGGCAGGGGCGTTTTTCAAAATCATTACAAATGTACTTCAAAAGATGCAGATTTATGAAAGACCAGTTATCTGATTATTGAAGAGCAGTGAAATAGTCTTAGTGAAAATGATGATGATGATAAAATGATGGCATGATATTCTGCTGCATGATATTTGCACGTGATTTTTTTGAAAGGGCTCTTTTTCTACCAACTCCCCACCCCCACCGCCCCCCCCCCCCCCCAACCTCACATATGCATCAATTTTATGTTGTAACTAGGGGTTGTACAAGGTTAACTATGAAGGCCAAATATGTTTTTCATTGCCCAAATAGTCCGCATACCAAGTTATGTAACAATCCCATAATATGACCAAAGTTTTGCTGGTGGGAATAAAAGGAAAAAGAGCCATTGAAAGTTATTGAACAAGAGTGTTTTAACTCATGAATTATAAGCAGGACTGATTCAGGGGAGCAGATGCTTGCCTTTTCTCTCAGGAGCTCCAGCATTAACTGCCCAAAGGGTCTCCCTTTGGTTTTATTTTACGACATCCACTTTCAGCCGGTCGACTCGAACTTTTTTAAGTATAATCGAACCCAGTACATAGTTACTGTGACGGAGAGCGCGCACCGTAAGAAACGCAGTTTTTTGTTAAAATAAAAGCATCCTAAAAGTTCGAAAACCTGAAAAAACCCTACCTCCAAACAATTCTAAAACCCCTACCTCAAAAAAATCTTAGATCCGCGCCAGATTATAAGAATTACAGTCACAGATGGATCTTACTCTTTTTAATAATTACGAAAGAAATAAAAGGCTCAAAATTTTTTATTAGTGCATACAAAATTGGACTAAACTGCATTAGCAATTGTCTACTCTCGAACGGACGAAAGGTGCTCTTGATGTGGCCCTGATTAAGGCTTCAGTGCCTTTGATCAAGATTTACAGCCATTTTTGTCTCTTTTCTGGAAAGCGAAAGATCGCCCTGCCCTCAACTAAAGGGCATCGCATACTATTAAGAGAAGCTGGAACGAAGAAGCATTTTACCGCCCCATCCAATTAGCACAAAAAAAAACATGAAAAATGATACCTCAAGTTGCAGTTTTGTTTTCACTTTTGAATTATCTCTGGAAGTCTTAATTTCATCCTGAGACCAAACAAGGCAAAAACAAGAAGTTTATAAAAAATATTTTGCAAAAAATAAACACAGAATTGCTGCAACAAGAATTTTTTCCCCATTTTACCATTATAGATATCTGCTATAATGCATTAATATCACTGTGTGCGAGTGTTTACTTTCTTCGTTAAAAGGCTGAGGCAAGAGAGTTATCATGTAAAGATTCAAGACTTTTTGTAGAAAAACGAACACATGACTTCTGTTGAGAGTGCGCAGTTTTCTCTTTTGTTCAGATGGGGGGCATTTGGGCGTCGTCTGCAGTAGTGGGCGTGCCAATGGGGGTGTTCTACGAGTACAAGAAAGTGGAGATACCCGAGGAGGGGGACACACAGGCACCCGAGTACGCTTGCTTCATCAGGGGGTCAGTCAAGGTCACTTTATGATGAAGATGAACACCATGATTAATTATCTGTCTATACCAATTTTTGTTCTCTCGTGTGTGTTTAATCGTTATTAATAGTCTGTTTGACGGCTGAGCTAAGCTTTTGCTGGGTGAAGTCCCATTTGTACCAAGGTTCATTCTTAACAAAAAGAAAAATCGGTCCCATTTGTACTAAAATTATTAAACTAGATGTCTGATTGGTCGAATTGTCGAGCCAACGATTTATTGTTCCGACTTTCGTAACAGAAGTAATTGTTTGGACTTTTGTAACGATAGTAACGGAATATTTGTGCTCGGGGCGGTTTCTATTTCTTATGACAAATTTGAACTTTTCAACCAGCCCTTTTTGACATTTTTTTAAAATGTTTAAATTAAAAAGGTATTGTTGTCCTGAGCTTTAATTTGAAAAAAAAAATTCACCTGTGATTATTTCATAAGTGGGTTTGAAAAGACAAAGGGTGGGTTTAAAGGTTGCCATTTTGCCCAATTTGGGACAATTACCGCGCGATAAATTTCTCGCTATTAACGCGTAAGCGAAGATTTAATCCGTCTTAGAAATCATTCCAAACTGGTTAAAGGAAGCTTATTTGCCATAATTGATTTGTTACTAGAAGCAAAACTTATCCTTTGTACTATATATGGCGTGTGGGGGGATGTTTTTCACAAAAATTTTTTATACAAATTTTTTTTTCTTTTTCTTTTCTTTTTTATACATTTAATTTTTTCATTTTATTTCTGATTCATAGACCTTAAAAGGCAGTTGGAACATTCAGGGCCTCGCCCTGATACGAGCAGTCTTGTTTCTAATTTAAGAAAGAAATGGACCATTTCTGTACCGAACATACAAGAAACTTAGCTAGGTAATCTATATAACATTTCTATCTAGAAAAACAACCAACGCTGGGTACGGGCAATAGTTTTCTACGATCTTAAAGTTTAGAAAATTAAATGCTCAAATAGAAAAATCTAAATTTGAACAAGACTGCTCGTATATCAGGGCAAAGTTCTGAATGTTCCGACTGTCCTTTAATTTATGTTGAATAGTTGAAAAGTTTTTGGGAAAAAAGAATGTTAAAAAACCTGTTAACTTCGGACAAAATCAGACGAAGGGTGGGTATTTACAAGTACCATAATTCAAAATCACTGCTGCCTTCTGTAAATTTTTTTTGCTAATTATTCTCAAAAACAGCGAGAATGCACAAAAAGCGGGTGCCAATGACCTCATTATTTTCTTTTGTAGTTTGTTTGCCTCAGAAGGATAAAATTAGACGCCTAACTAAGTCTTTTGAAAGCTTCTGGAAGTGCCAGGTATCAAAAGTGTCAAAGTTGTGGTGGTTTGTTTTATTTGAGTTGTCCTTCATTGACTACCTTTTAGGATTATTTTGACTGCGATCTAAGACAAATAAAACTAGAACCACGCGCTAGCATTTTACAAATGAAAGTAGAATTAAAGCGATGATAAATATTTTACAAGACTGATTGTATTAATGCGAAGCTCTGATTGTTCGACTACCCTTCAATTTGTCTCGATTAGTTTTTGGTAAATTAATTTTTGGTAAAACTTTGAATTTTAATTTTATAATAAATGTTGCAATTTGAGTCGTGTATGGAATTTATAAAGCCAATAAGCTGCCTCAATTCAATTTGGAACATTTTTGCAGTGCGGGAATATTAAAACAAGCAGTTTTAGACATACTCTCGTTAGATTTCTATAGTGGTATGCACACTAGTCTGGTCCCATGCAGATCATGAGATCGATGCCCCGAGGGACTATAGGAGTTTTGCAAAAAATGGTCAAAATACAAAAAAACACCCTGAGCATATTTAATCCTCACTTTCTTCGAAAGTTGGAACAACAAGACTGGAAATAAACAAAAAGTAATAATTTTTTCCTGTTTTTTATCTCCTCTCAAGCTAATGCAAGCAAATAAGGATGCATGTGGTGTCTTTTATCCTGATAATAAGACGATAGGATTTGCCTCAATTCAATTTCGAACGCGTTAATCCGCCGCTTACGCGTGTTACAAGAATGCAAAATTTTGCGCGCTTTTTACAAATTGGCCAAATTAGCCATTTTTAAACCTTATAAAATTAAAACCTGCTTTTCAAACCTCATAATTTCACGAAAAATCATCATAAGTAAAATATCTTTTTGAATTTGAGCTCAAGACAACAAAAATTTCGAGAAGGTTTAAAAAAACTCAGTTTTTGCAAAACTGCTTTGTTTAAAAGTCAAAAATTGACTGAGGAATAACATCATTCAAAGCGTAATTAATTCAATATCATCTTCAAAAATTGGAATAAAAAAACGCCAGTATAACGCCTCGCAACAGTCCACCATTTGTACCTCTCTAATCCATTTCGGAACAAAAAAAACGGAGTTATTTTTATTCAGTCATAAATTTTTTTGGGAACACATTTTCTAGAGTCATCTGTCTTTCATGCGCATTGTAAGTATTTAGAAAAACTTTATAAAAAAAGAAAATGCCTATTGTCGTATTAGTTTCTGAAAATTTGAAAAATCTATTCTGATCAAAATTTTTTTTCGGAACAATAGTAAAGAGAAAATGATTGTACTAAAAGGGGCTCAAACGTTTTCTGGTGGTACGACAATTCTTTCTTTTTAGTTTGGATTCATAGAAAAACCTTCATCACAAGATAAAGAACATATAAACCACCAAAAAAAAGTAATCAATCACAAAATTTTCGTACAGTTTTGTTAGGTCTGTCAATATCTGTTGACTCTAGTGTTATAAAATATTAGTTAATAAAATACGCTGTGTGAGTTTTTCAACAGAACCAAATGTAATGATACAAATTTTCTCAAATGAAACAATTCAACGGCAAATGTTTATGAAGTTTTTTTCGACTGGGTTAAAACTAAAATGTTTTTTCACAAGGTACGGTTGCAGGTTCAGTGTTGTTCCTTATTAATAGAACAATTAACCAAAAACAGGTCAAACAGTAAACCAAAAATAGGTCGAAGATGAATGTATTTTAGTACATATTAATTTTTTGCATGGTATTTGTTTCATCTTCAAAAGACCTTTTGAAACAATTGCAAAACTGTTTACGCTCACTTCCTTTTTGTCTCAGGAACCAGGAAAACATTATATAGCCCGAGTGCATTGATATCGAAATGTATAACTTTCATTCAAAAAAATATATACAGAAGGTGGATACAGACCAGTCTCTCTTTCAGGATCAGTTGGTAGACAATAAGAGTGAATGCAAGAAATTAGTCTCATTCAGAGAATCATATCTGTATTTTGATCTTCAGGTGAAAAAACAATGCAGAAAATGGCAACAGGGAACTAAAACAACACATACATTTTGAAAGCAACTGACAAAATTATCGTAGCTGATGTGCCTTGTTTTACTAAAAATTTTAACGCGCTGTTTAGAAATGCTTATAACTGAGCTGTAAAACGAAAGTTTTTTATTCAGACTACAATCTTCCGCTATAATCTGAACTTTCTCAAACTGCAAAACGATTTCATTAACCTCTCCGCCCCTACACTAGCCCCTTTACACATCCCAACGTTTGTCCCTTTGCTCCTACCCACCTCAAATTCAACCAATTGAACCACCTGAACCATTACGAGGCCAAATTGTGCACTGGATAGGAGCACAATTTTGTGTCTGTATGTTCCTGGATTCCAGAGACAAGTCTTTAAACATGTTCCAAAATGTAAATGGATTCCACAAACAAAACTTCACTGGACTCCGCATGCAAATACCTGTTACGTAAATTTTGTCGGCACATTTGTTTTGTTGCGGATTCTGCAACAAGCAAATATAGCTAGTTGTTCTGGGTTCCGCAACTGTAAGTGGATTCCGCAAAACGTAAGCGGAATCCGCAAATGTAAGTGCAATCCGCAAACTGTAAGTGGATTCCGAATTTTGTTCAATACTGAACTTGCATATGAACAATTAAAAGCTGAGCTGGAATTCTTATTTTTAGCAATGCGGAATTTAAAAGCAAAGACTTAACCATTGTCAGCGGAATCCACGAACAAGTCTTAAAACATAGGTTACCCAAATCAGTGGATGTCATCTTTTAGTTTTTTGGAAACACAACACCGAACAATTTCAATATTTGGAGTCATTGAGTTGAGAGTGTATGGAACACACAGCATATCGACAAATTAGGTCAATATTTGGGATTGCGTCAATCCCAAATACTGATTTTGGAAGCATAACGCCGAATAAATGCAGTAATTGTAGTCATTGGGTTGAGAGTGTATGGAAACACAACACACAGCAAATCGTCGAATTAGGTCATTATTTGGGATTCCATCGGTACCAAATACTGAGCAGTATTTGGGATTGATGAAATCCCAAAAACTGGAATAATGTGGAATAAATATGGAAGATATCTAATCTTTGGAGTCATTAGGTTGAGAGTGATTAGAAACCCAACGCATAGCAAATCGCCGAATTAGTTCAGTATTTGGGATTCCATCGATCCCAAAAACTGGTCAGTATTTGGGATTGATGGAATCCCAAAAAATGGAATAATGTGGAATAAACAAGAAATATATCCATTATTTGGAGTCATTAGGTTGAGAGTGATTAGAAACCCAACGCATAGCAAATCGTCGAATTAGTTCAGTATTTGGGATTTCATCGATCCCAAGTACAGCTCAGTAATTGGGATTCCATTGATCCCAAACAACGATCTATTCTAGTAAATTTCTATTTTAGTAAATTTCTATTCTAGAGAAATCAAATCATGTATTTAAAAGATATAATTTAAAGGCTACTACACATCTAAATATATGTAAAGGGAATCCGCAAACAAAATGCGGATTCCACTTACAATTTACGAATTCCGCTTACAATTTTCGGATTCCACTTACAGTTTCGGATTCCGCAACAGCTCAATATAACGATACAAATGATCTATCATTTGTTTGTGTATTCCACAAATTGTTCTGGATTTCGCAAATACAGTTGCGGATTCCGCAAACTCTCTTTTTTTTTCGAGCGATTTTGAGCGGTACAACGATTTTGGTAATTGTTTGTGGAATCCAAAACAGCATAGAAGAACAAAGAAAAATAGCAATGTTGCGGATTCCGCGACAAATCTGATTTCAGCCTGTTGCGGATTCCGCTTACAATGCACAGAATGCACAGTTTGGCCTCGTAATGACACTACACCTTGAAACAAAAATTAGGCCAAAGAAGCGTTTTTTAGGCATTTTTGATAGGTTTCGAGTAAAAACTTGCAATACCCTGAAAAAATTGGTTTTGACCGATACAAGTGGTTTTTTTGGTCCGCGCTCTCCCGTCAAAACTAGTATATACATTATGGCGCCTCGGAAAAATTTAAGGTTTAATTAGCCAGAGATGGGTGTCTTAAAATAGTACCAAAGGGAGGACCTTTTGGGTCGTCAAAGGTTCGAATCCCTGAAAGGGACAAGGGGGCGTCTGTACCCACCCCCGCTAAATCCGCTGCTGGCTTCAGTACTAAAACCTTTTCAGATTTAAGTAATTTGTTAAAAATAATTATGTAAAATTTTTCGAGCTCGATCTCATATGCTGAGGGATTTGTAAATGAGAGTCTGGCCAAAATCCTTAGCTCAATATGTCAAAAGTTTAGCCAAGAATCTCACACAGTTACAGAGATAACAATTTAAAAAAAGTGGAACAAACGGTCATTTTATTATTCCGGGTTGCCCATCATAGAAGATAATGCGCAACCATACACATCCATGATTGATTTGCATGAAAAAAATGTGTAATCATGCGTAGCAGATACATTTATTTCGAAAACCCTCAGAACACCCGCACTGAAAAAATTGGATTAGGATCGATTTTAGTATGAAAAAAGTACGTTGATTAAATTTAGATAGAATTTAGTATGAAAAAAGTACGAAGATTAGGTGAAAAAGATGAAGATTGATTGGATCGATTTAAAATCGATTTAAATTGATCTGAAATCCGAACTAAAAAAATTTAAATGCATTTTTTCCAATCTGAGTTTGTTTTTGTTTTTAAGGGGATTAAAACGGATTTAAATCAGTTTAAATCAATTTTTTTTATTCGAGATTTATCAGTTTCGAACTTTTATTGCATTTATTCATTGCCTATCACTTTTCATTTCACATCCATATCGTATTGTAGCGTAAAAAAGACCAAATAATAACACCAAAACATCGATAAAATTCTATGATTTTCTTGCCTATTACCAAATAAAAATACCAAAATATCGATAAAATTCTTTGATTTTCTTGCCTATTTGTGTTCAAAAACTGATCTGTTTCGATACTTTTCTTGATTCGTTTTATATGTTTTGCCCAAAATCTGATTTATCTTCATAATATTTTTTGATTTAATTGCATATTAACCAAATCAAATTTCAATTCATTCTGACCCTTTTCTTGTTTGTTACATAGGAATTTGCAAAATCTGATTTACAACAGTTTTCTATAATTTCATTGCCTATTTTCGAGCTTAAAATCTGATTTATGTGGATCGTTTTATTGAATTTTATAGCATCTGGTACGATTGTTTGTTTTTAAAAAATCGAGAATGAAAAATTCCCACTATTTTGTTAAAGGGTATGTTTTTTTTCGCCGTGTTAGCAAAAAAATTGATTTTTGTGAGTCTGAAAATCCATCGATATCGATTTAAATCAATATTTTAGACACTCAAATCGATCTAAAGTTTTCAAGAAGATCGATTTAAAATCCATTTAAGTTCGATAAATTTGTACATTGTTAATCGATTTGGATCGATTTAAAATCGATTTAAAATCAATTTAAATCGATCTGAAACCATTTTTGTCAGTGCGTGTAGCTTTTTGGCGAATGAAATTAGTAATAAAATGACCTCTCATCGTTATGCAAGCTCTTAGTAAGATATGAAAAATTTTCACCATGCAAATCATACGTCGCAACTTATGTGGTGCTGTGTGTGAAAGACATTTCTCATAAAACATTTTTTTTCTCTGGAAAAACGTGAAAATAGAGGTTAGCTGGAAAAAAATGATTTAAGAATCGTATCTTTTGTACACGATACGTTTTTATTATATTTTGACTTTTTTATCACCATGCAGATCATCACTCGCAACATACATGGTTCTACGTATGAAAACTATTGTTCCATGGAAAATGCCAACTTTGACAAACCAAAAAAAAAACTTAAGCGCAATATCTTCTTATCGAAACTTTTCATTGATTCATCAAGTTTCTTTCGAAATCTGTCATCTAACCAAAACTAAGAGACAATTAAAAATTACAAATAGCATTCAGCATGCTCATTTTGCTGCAGCTAGCTAATTTAACCAATTGATTGACTTAAACAGGAAAAATATTTTTTAAAATCCTAGAATAATTGATTCAGTTTCGAAAATATACTATTTTCTTTAGAACTTCTCGCTTGTATCTTCACCAGTAACAAGGTATGTTGCGTGGCAACTTTACTAAGTAGGCCGAGATGCTTTGATTTTATCAAAATTGTCTAATTTGAAGTCCCTCATAATAAAAAAATGTGCAACCATACGTCGCGTCATGCATGGAAAATGTGTTATTTTAACATAAAAATAGGTGAGCATTTTTTCATGGCTTCCATGAATCATGCATGGTGCGACGTATGGTTGCACATTTTGGTCAACCCGGGAATCTTTGCAGCTTGTTTTTTTCCGCGACTATGAGCTTCTTTATTTCTGTCCATTATATTATACTGCAAAAAATTACAACAGAAATTTGCTCAAAGTGATTAAAAAGAAAGACCTGCCGATTCTGGTTCATTTTTTTCTCTGCAATTTAGACTTTTTTTTTCACGCGACGTTAAGACATCCCATTTTGTCTGAAACACAGGCTTTCCATGCAAAAACTCCTGACTGCCTTATTTGTTGTTTATTTAAACAAATTTTTGTCAATCTGAATCTTTCGTAACTCTCGATATCAACGGGGTTCATTTGTCTATTTCAGCGGTGACCTTCAATTCCTGCTGACTAATGTGACAGTGTACATTGTGGATTTTCTGGTGCCTGCAGTTCTAGTCACCAAGTACTACTGGGAGTTCTCAGTCGAGGTCAGACGAAGGTCAGGGGGCGTGACCTCTACAACCAACGCTCCTGCAGCATCTAACACACCCCAAAACAACAATAACAACAATAACAATAACAACGGCAACTCCATGCAACATGGCAACGGGATACCAAGATGCAATGCCATTTCCCAAGTACCCCCATTGCGCGCATCCCAGGAGAACAGAACTCACTCCAATCACCCGCGGGGGACTTGCTTAAATGGTAAATTAAGCCCACCAAAACGGGAATTCATAGTATAATTTAGATAGTATATTGTAGGGAGTTAATTGAATACACATATATATTTGCCCCACAGGTAGCAGTACTAGTTGTATCTAAAAATATCTTTCTCTTTCTCTGCATTTCGATTTTAACACAATGTTAAGGTAATTGATTACATGGCTAAACTGTGTATTATTCAAACACTGAATGTACCATATTAGGCCTTGTCATAAATAGACAAGCGGCTTTCAAAGCCAATTTCAGTGAACAGATCAAATGGCATCTTCTGGTGATATTATATATGGTGGTACCTCATGCTCTAATAGCAATGTATTTTTTATACAAGGTTTCAAGGTGAAAAAATATTGTGTGGTTTGGTTTGATCATACAAAAGAACGCGATCCACGAATTTCGATCACTAGTTTTTTATGTCGAAGTTGAAGCTCGAAGTTTTATGAGCTCGAAGTTAATATAATTGTTCCGACTTTCGAAACGAAAGTTACGAGATATTTGTGCTCGGGTGGATTTTTTTTTCTTCAGACATATTTCGACTTTTACCTAGCCATTTTGATGGAGTTTTTTATATATCATTTTAAAGGTATTGTTGCCTTGCGCTTAAATTTGAAAAGATAGTTCACCTATGATCATTTTTCGTAAAGTTATGGGGTTTAGAAGTTTGCCATTTTGGCCGATTTGGGACAATTAACGCGCGATATATTTCGCGCTATTAACGTGTAAGCGGAGATTTATTCCGTCTTAGAAATCGTTCCAGTTTGGTTGAAAGAAGCTTATTTGCCATAAAAGAGTTCTTAAAAGAAGCAAAATCTATCCTTTTGAATTTTATATGGCATTAGGGGGGATGATTTTCATAAAAAATTTCAAATTTTAGAAGAAAATTAATTTATTTTTTTTTTACTTTTTACATTTACATTTTACATTTACATTTTACATTTAATTTTATATTTTTTTAATACATATCTTTTTATTCTATTACATATCTTTTTATTTTATTACATATCTTTTTATTTTATTACATTTTAATTTTTTTGAGGTTATTACTGCTCCATAAACTTTAAAAAGCAGTCGAAATACTCAGGGCTACGCCCTGATACGAGCAGTCTTGTTTTTAATTACGCGATAGTTTTTGGCGCCAGAAAGTTTTGAGCAGATTGCCATAAAACATTGCCAGTCTGCCATTTCTGAACAATGAATGCGCACTTCAAGTCCATTTTTCATACTTCTTGCTGGGGGACAGCCAAATTTTTGGAAATTTTTGCAAAGTAGCTGCTTTTGCATCTGGCTGTTTCAGCATCCTACAAAAATGACGGTATAGTTGTGCTCAGGGTGTTTTTTCCGCCTGGCAAACGTCGAACATATTAATACTTTTGACGTAGTAATTTTTGACGGTATTTTATGATATAGACCGAGAGCTATTGATACCACAAACTCCGAATTAAAAATGTGGGTTTGAAAAGAGCCAATTTGAGATAATTAGCGTTTAATAAACTCCATCCTTATGACTAATACGAGGGGATTTGAATTTGTTCCAAAAAGAATTCTGGCAAAAATTTTTCTCAAACTTATACGTTATACTCTATCTAACTCCTACGTTAGAGTATCATTTTGTACTTCATATACTTCATATAGCGTTTAAAATGATCGAAAGAAAAAAATGCCAAAAAAATTACAACTTTCTCTACATTTGTTCAATTTTTTGATCAAATGTTCAACCAGAATATTTTTATCGGTTTTAAACGGCAATCAAACCCTTTAAGGCTTTGTTTTGGTTCTACAAAATATGAAAATTTGAATTTTTCGAAGAAAGTGACGGAATATTTGTGCTCGGTCGGTTTTTTTGTAATGTTTAATTTCAACTTCTGAATAGGCAATTTCAGTTAATTGTTTTACTTACTGAAAAATCATGACATCCTGCTCTGAAAATTAAAAAGATTATTTACCTGGGATCAATTTGATATTGTTTTATAGGTGTGACTTCGAAACTATTTGACGCCTATATTTAAGTTGGAGATGCTCATTGACAATGAGAATTATAATTAATCCTATGAAAGAGGAAGCGGCAATTAGAAAAATTTTAGTTTAAATTGAGGCGGGAAAATTCGTTATGTTTATACGTGACCATGCGCAAAGTATCTCATTTTGCGCCTGCATGCAAGGAATAAAACTAGGAAAACAAAATCCGAACAAGACTGCTCGTATCAAGGCGAAGCATTGAATGTTCCGACTGCCTTGTTCTATGAATCAGTGTTCGCTTTGTAACAGTTAATGTTTTTTTTTTCAAAAAAAAAAGAAAAACTTTTTCTTTACAAAATTTGAGATATTTTTAAAGATCAAACAATTCAAAAGACAAAGGGATAGGTTTCGCATAGTAACATAGCACATTTGGCAAATAGCCTGCTTCAACAAACTATTTCTAAGACGGATTAAATCTCCGCTTACGCGTTCTTACATTGCGCGTTGATATTCCCAAATTGGCCAAAATGACAATATTTAAACCCACATAACTTTACAAAAAAAAATTTCAATTATGGCTAGTTAAAAAAGTCGAAATTAGTTCGTAGAAAAAAAAACCACTGGAACCCCGAGCACAAATATTCAGTCATTTTCTTCGAAAGTCGGAACAAAAACTAACCCGAGCAAAAATAACGCTACTTTCTTCGAGCGGCGGAACAAAGGTTCAAAAAATTTTCTTGCATGTATTCTTTGTATTCTTTTCACATGCACTTTCAAAATTTTCAAACTTGTAACAAAAATTTTCTTGCAGTATAAACATGTAGTAATAAATTGATTCATTCTTTTTGAATTCTGAAAAAAACAAGTTGAATATGTTAGAGTTGGCTTGTGTTCTAACCGAAAACAATTGACGAAAATATAGTTTTTGATGCGATGTTTTTTTCTCACCTCGTTGATTATTGAGCTAGAATATTTTTTCATAAAAACGATGTTTTACCTAAAAACAATATTTTTTTTGTAAACTTATGCAATTTGATTTCCAGTTCGGGCAATTCCAATTGAAACTTGCCTTTCAACCCTTGAAACTGAGTTCTATGTAACGTTCCGACCACCGTATTGTTTACTAACGAAATTGATTATTTTCTTTTTTGTGTTCTGATTTTCTGTCGTTTTCTCAGGTATATGATTTGATAGAACTAGTTAAATGTTTTAATTAATTGTGCTTTAACATCTGTAGAAATGAACAGAAAGAAAAGAGGGAAGCGTATAACATAAAAAAGTTTGCCGTGTAAAAAAGTCAAAAAAAAATTTTGTAAAGAAGTCGACAGATATCACAAAAAAAGTTGCAAAAAAGTTGACAGATATAGTTTTGAAAAATTTTCATTTTGGATTTAGAATCACGATCGAAAGGATTTCAAAAAGAAAAGAGGGAAGCGTATAACATAAAAAAGTTTGCCGTGTAAAAAAGTCAAAAAAAATTTTTGTAAAGAAGTCGACAGATATCACAAAAAAAGTTGCAAAAAAGTTGACAGATATAGTTTTGAAAAATTTTCATTTTGGATTTAAAATCACGATCGAAAGGATTTCAAAAATCTACTTTGCTCGATACTTTACGAACCGTTTTTGAGTTGCTTAGTGGGAACAAGTTAACAGCCTCCATCCCCCAAACACGTTTAGGGGGGAGGATGTTAACTTGGTTCTAGGTTCGAATTTTCCACCAATCAGAACAAGGCATTTTTACATTTTTACAAATTGAACGCTGGGTTGGAAGATCTTAACTTGGTCTACTTTGGGGGAGGGAGGAGATGGAGGATGTCAATTTAATCCGCTTAAAGAATTTAGTGCGAAAAATAACCCAACTTTTATTGTCCCCCGCAGTTGTTTTCAACCACAGTCATCGGCATTGTAACCAATGAAGAGAACTAGTTCCAATCTAGTTTATCATAGTGATTGACGACACAGGATGACTATTGAATGAAGGCTGTGTTTAACGATTTGGACAACTGACAAAGAATTGAAATAAAATCAGAGACTAATTAATTATGATTTATTGTGAAACCAGGTCACTAACAGCAGATTTATTTATATCCATTAGGTTATTTTTACAAAAAGAATGAGAAAATTTTCCTTGGACTTTATTACTTATTTCATGACAAACTCGATAGAAATGCAGGTTTTGTTTGATTGTTTTTAATTACGCAACTCGAAAACTTTCATGGCGTCAAGGATTTTTTATTTCGGTTTCATTTGAATTCGTTTATTTCAATCGAATGGAGGCTTTTGACAGTTTGATTTGAACATACTGTCGATTAAATGGTATAAACCTGAAGGACTCTTTAAAGACCTTCTTTTCATCTTCTAAGCTGCTTTTGATGCAGCGAACCATTCAATTGGTTTTTTTCTAAGTACTAATGGAATATGCCTTTTGCATTAGATGATTTTTTGAGCTCTTAACCAGATTGAAGAAGTTGAATGAACCATAAAGTAGATGCACGAACTGTTCGCTTAATGGGAAAAGTACATGAAGGGTAAGTCGCTAGGGTAAATATGCCTAAAAAGTTCCCAGCTTAATGAGTGTTTGAAAGTCAAACATTAAGTATTTATAACTGCATCGATGGGTATCCTGAATTTAAAAAGACGAAATTAATAAAATACTGGTCGAACCAGACAAAAAATTTGAATATTGTGCCTGGTATTTAACGTGTCTGGAGTACAGTGCTGATTTAATTAACCCGAAAAAAAATTATATTTAAACCGCGCTTCAAAATTTTGTTTCTGGCTATTGCAAAATTAATATACATATTTTGCGTCTTAGATTGCCTTTGCGGACCAAATAGTTCTCTCAATTTAATTTGGAATGGTTTTTGGGCTGGATTTTTTTGCTGATTACGCCATGTACAAATTGGCCTCCCAGATGGAATTTTAACAGATGGAATTTTGTTAAACCCCCATACTTTTACTACAAAGGTAGCATTTTTCAAAAATTGTGACAAGAACAAAAATTGGACATTAAGGCTGCTTGCTAAATG